GCTTGAGATGTACTCATCCTCCTTGTCTTTCCACATGACTACATTTGCACTTTTCTTATCGTATGAAAATCATGCTAGTTGTAGTTTCCATCGTATTTTGTTACCAGAAATACATAATTTATGATAAAGTTCGAGCCCTTTCCTGAACTGGCCGATATCCTGTTGCGTGAACAGTACGAAACCTTTGACGGATACTGGCATAAATACAAGCCCGAAGGGGCCGTTTGAAAGTCGATGCATACGAAATATTAATTTAAAATACTGATGTTAGTTGTTTGCCATTGAGCGAAGTGGGTCATATGGCAATGCTGCACTTACACTAAAAAAGTTCTCTCTATTAAAATCTCTATTTGAGGTTAACTTGAATCAGACAAACTCGCTCATTTTCCGTTTGACCGGCTCGACGACAACAGCCTCAGCCTTTTCAATCTTTGAGGAAAGGAGCATGATTTGCATTTTTCAAGCCGTGAAATCTTTAAATTAAAGTAGCCCCTTCAATCACAGGAACGAAACTTCCCGATGACTTCTCGGCACAAAATCATCGTGCCTCGTGATGCAGCCGATTGTTTCGTCAAATGTTAGCTTGTGGTTTGCTAGGGGAATCATTCCACAGCAACGAAACTTTAGAGCAGTGACCAAGGGTAACCTTCGCCGAACATAGTGCGAAGGAATGAAATGTTATGGTCGTTAGGGCAACAGAAACGAACACAGCTACCCATTCTTAACATAGATTTCGCCATAGAAAACAAAACACAAACGAAACAAACTAAACATTCGGTAACGGGAGATTTTTGTTCTAATCTTGACCTGAACACCGCACACGACCAAAACCGTCTTAGTCAGTCTTTGTAGAGATCTTCGTTTGAAGCGGTTCTCCTTCGTAGGGCTGAATCGTCCTTGCAACTTCCATTCCTTCTTTACTACTTGAGTACGATGTATCAAAACTCTTGGCAGAGCTTGCTGAAGGTAGGTATACATCGCTATCTGACATTATTCAAGAGTATTTCAACGCTGACAGATACAAAATTACAAGAGATGTGAGAGATTTGTAAATGTCAACGGAGAGTTTCATAGTTTTCTACGTCATCACCCGCTAATTCGTTTCCAGTCCTCGGGACACTTTTAAGACAAAATAAGGACATTTTAAGGCCCAAAAAAAAGCGAGTTTTAAGTTTTTTGAAATCTTTCTTCTATCGGAATTGGTTTTTACATATGATAAGCTAAATGTTTACGCAAAAAAAAAGAAAAAAAATTCGTGTCATAGACACTTTAAGTCCGAATTTTGAATTGTTAATATTTCGATCCAAACTCAGGGCATAAATTTTCTCGATGTACCTTTTTATCAGATGCGATCCTTCACCAAACACGTGGCCTTGCTTCTCATGTGATCGTAATTCTCTGCTTAGGGGTTAATCAGAACTTGCTAAAAGAATTCACTTTAGATCAGAATATGCAGAGGTCACTTAGAGCCTATTAACATGGAGATGGGGACCCCAGTTAGGTGAGGTAACCCACCTTGATGGGGTAACCACCCATTCATATGATCTCTTGTTTTATCTTGAACACGTCTACATGATAGGTGAGGTAACCCACTTAGTGGGTTGTCCGGTCTGTCAGGTAGGGTAACCCTGTCAGCCGGGGTAGCAATTTGCCAAGTAAACGTCTCAAGGTTTGGTAACCCGCCTAGTCGGGGTTGCGTTCATGTTACACTTGCGAGAACGCCGCCCGGGGTTGTAAGATGTATGTTAATGCGGGCTACCTGACCAACCTGGGGTCCAGACCCTCATATATCCTTTTTCTTTCTGTGCAGGTTATCTTTGTCGCTGGTAGGAGAGAGTCCGGACCTCCTCTTGAAAAACTTCATGACGCTGCTACCGTGTTACTTCTTGTCAGCGCAATACCATACCTTTGGTTCCAAACCGCTATTACCTTCTTCACGGTTAAAATGGGCCTCCATTCAAAATGGGTGTTCATTTTCAGGCTCGTCGTGTCTTGTACTATGACATGCACTGGCATAGGATATCCTTTCTTCTATTGGTTCTCGACAACAAAGTTACAAACAGGTAGCTCCGAAGCTTTCTGGAGCCCTGATGACGGTGGTTATGCCCTGCACTTGTTTAGCACTATCGGAGAGTGGGTTGCCTGTTTGTGCTTAGCGCTCTTCCCTGCATCCTTTTACCAAGAATTTAAAACTTTTTCTCTGGAAATTTATCACGTTAAAGTTAAGGAACTTACAGACAGAAAGAAAAGTGACTATGTAAAGATAGGAACAAACGACGACTAGAATGGTCATTTGTTGCAAAGTATGTGAATAATACGTCCATTTATGCGAAGCTTCAACATCCCCACCCTCCCCCCCCCCCCCCTCGGTTGCCTTGCTGCGTAACTATGTTAGCAGCAAGCTTCTGATGACAAGTTGGATCTATTAGATGTGTCCATCGTTTTTTAAAAGATACGAGAGGTTGAGCGCCGTCTTTTATTGACACATAAGTTCATTACCTAGCTAAAAAAGAAGTATTCTAAACGTCTTCTTTTTTCATTAATCGCACATGTTTCATGTGTCACTTAGGTAGGGCGATTTATACTTAACTTAATCAGCCGAAGTTGCCGTGTTTATAATAATAAAACAGTTCGAGTTGAATTCTTCAAAATCTCTGGCGAAGTGCGGCAAAATGAAATGAAATGAGGTTGTGTAGGCTAGATTAACCGACCTATGTATGTGTTATTAAAAAACGGTAGTCTTAATTTCCTACAGTATTCGTTATCAGTCTCCCTTATCGTGTCGTTTTCTTGAATCTACAGCAAGTTGAAATCAGTACTATTTCATTTCCTTGGCTGGCATCTTTTTTGCAGATTATAGTGCCGAGTAATTACAAAATATGTTGCATGACCGACCGAAATTTTTGTCCAAATTTAGATCTTCCGTTGGTTATACCATTTGTAATTTCTGCCAAAAAATAAAGAAATTAACGGGAAATCAACACCTGTACTTTAAAAACTATTTTAGCGTTCCAATGAAAATCGATGAGAGAATGAACAATTCTTTTCCGCAAATTTGAACTGAGACGTCACATATCATGTTGCAACTGACCTGTGTCGGTAAGGGACCAGTCTTTGCTTTTTACCTGGGGAGCGGGGTCGAAGGATTTAAAGGGGGATCACATGATTTTTAGGGGGAACCTAAGGGGGGGGGGAGGGGCCAAGCGTCGCTAACAGAGTATAAAAGGGAGGAGGGGAGGAGCTGCAGAAAATTAACTTCTAATGAGGGGGGGGGGGGTCGTAAAAATGTTACAGAGCCTCATGGGAGATCACGTGCATTCGCCCAGTCACAATCAAATTCCTCCAACCTCCCCAAGCGATAAGAAAAGACAAAAGAAAAAAAAAAGAGCTAGACCAGGCGAAAACAATTTAATCAGCTTTAAATCATATCACGGCGTTTTATTTTTTTATTTGAGAGAAACATAACTACTATTATTTGGAATTATTTGTCAGCGGGCAATCGCAGCTTTGTGACTCCAAGCTGGCATCTAAACACGTTCTGCTGGTTAGATTAAAACTTCAACCAAGTGCGTTATACGAATTTCGTCAAGGGGCAATAGAACCAGTGGTGAAATCACGTCTCTCTCTCTGGTATTGTACACTTCATTGTACGAACTGTGGTTGGAATTTGTGGAATAACATATTGTTCACTCCAAACCGTTTTCACCTACTACCTCATTAAACCCCAAACAAATACCGTCAAGCTTTTCGCGCTTCGCCTCGCAACATCGATTCTTCTATGCGTCAGCGGTCTCATGCACGTGTCTATGGACTTGTGGCTTGCGGCACAACTTTTGAAAGGAACTGCCAATGCTAAAAACCGATGCATTCTAACTTGAAGGACGAAGAAGACATCATGTTCTCTATTTATAATATCAGTGACTGGTTGACTTATGTACTTTTTGCTTTGTTTTCATCAACATATTATGTGGAATTTCGCCGTTTGGATCGTTTGAAAATGAGCTGTTTTCAAAAACATTCTCCAGAAAAGAAGCCGACTGAACGGGTTCAGAACAATTATACGAAACTGAAACACGATGATCTAGAATAAAACTGATACAAATCGTTTGAAGGGAAAATAATCTCCTTTTAATCCGTACTGACAAAATCAACTAAAAAGATCGATTTGTAATGAAGTAACTATATTTGATCCTTCAGTAACACATCCAGACAATCAGTCACACCCGACAACAACAGCAACTACTACACGACTGAGTCCTTATTTACATTTGTCTAGAACATTCCGGAAAACAACTTTGGGCCTGTTTACATGGAGATGGGGGACCCCAGGTATGTGAGGTAACCCGCCTGGCCGTGGTCAAAAAATAAAACGCGTTTACATGCAATCTTACAACCCCGGGGTGCTGGGGTGAGGTTTCTTGAGGTTGTTGTTGCGTTTGCAATTAAGGAGTTTGAGCACAGGCGTCCCAAGCTCACATCTGTCTCCATGTCAAATTCACAACCACAATAAGAAAAACGTGACCGAAATTCTACTGTAAGATAAGACCGCCAAAAGGATAAGAAGACCGCCAAAAGGAATAGGAATTGATCAACTTGCTCATTATAATTTTTTTTACTGAATGGCTTATGGTAATATATTTGTAATAAACGTCAAATCGAGGCTTCTTCGTTAAATGATCATCCTTAATTCTCTTCGCCAATTCGTCAATTTTGTTTACTTAGCAATTACGTCATAAGCTTTAACACGTGAACGTATGCTGATAGCGGCCTTCTTTTAGTAGTTCTAGTTTTCAGCTTTACAGAGCTAGCCTACGTGTTTTGGTAAACTAAGGGCGCGTTCCTTTGGGAGGATCCAGGTTAGGATTTATGATCCAAGATCACACAGATCACGGTGCATGAAAAGAAAGGAGTTTTAGACGAGCTCTCAGAGAATTCCAAAAAGTGCGCTATTTTAAGGGCTTGTTTACATGGAGGTGGGGGACCTCAGGTAGGTCACGGAGGTAACCCGCCTAGCCGTGGTCGAAAAATAAAACGTGTTTACATGCAATTTTACAACCCCGGGGTGCTGGGGTGAGGTTTCTTGAGATTGTTATTGCGCTTGCAAGGAGTTTGAGCAGAGTCGTCCCAAGCTCACATGTCGAAAAAGACGAAAGATGAATTCTCGGACACATTCACGTATTTATTCATGAAAGCGTCACACGTTGTGTTACGCGGTGTTTGGTTTCGCGAGGAACCGTTGACTTAATAAGTTATAAGGAATAGTTTGGGAAACCAAATATGGTCGATTTACAACGCTAAATATTCCGAAATGTGAACATTTTACACTCCTTGTGTGTCCGTTGCGGTTTCTGGTGATTTCTGCCATGAGACGGTTAAGAAATGTACAAAGTTTTAAAACATAAATGTTTCGCTTTTGAGCTTTTTGCCATGAACGCGACCCTGACTAGGCGGGTTACCCCACCTTGACACGTTTACATGGCAAATTGTCACCCCGGCTGACCGGGTTACCCTACCTGGCAGACCGGGCAACCCGCCTAGGCGGGTCACCCCATCTTTGATTTAAACGTGATCAAAATAAAATAAGAAATTATATGGACAGGCGGGTTACCCCACCTAGGCGGGTTGACTCACCTACCTATACCTGGGGTCCCCCACCTCCATGTAAACAGGCCCTAAGACTTGTGAATGCACGTGGGTTATTGAGCTCTTCCCTGAATGGCTCGTCTAACTGCACGGACTTTTAGCGCGCAAAATTTTTCTAATTAGCACTATTCATTAGAAGCACATTTTTTCACGACAAACTCAAACGATGGAATTAAAATAGAAGCAAGTATTGATTACGATATGGATACTTGGGAACCCTGAATGTTTGCGATCAGTGGCCGATCGATTTAACATCAATCATCATCAAAAATCAATTTTATTTTGTGTTTATCGCAGAATTTGTGGAGCGATTGTCAACAATCTTTCCGGTCAATATACGAAGTACCTACCTGTTTGAAATTGGGCACCGGTGAGCAAAATGATTAATTTCGGATCCTTCGCCCAAAGGGACGCGTTGGATCAATTATCCAATGATCCGTCTTTAGATCACACAAATCGGTGATCCGATGAATCCTTGTCCAGAGTGGATTTGATAGATCACTGATCTGAAAATGGATGTGCTCGAAAGGAACGTCACAGATCAGAAATCCTGATCCGGATTCTCCCAAAGGATCTGTTGTCGTTTCTATCTTCTATCTCCTGCGATTTTATGGCCTTTAATGATTTTATAACTGTTATCGTTTAGGTTATTACTATCGCTTCAGGACAATTTGAAATACATGTATTCTCTCGTTATTACTGATTTTTATATGTCTTTAGAGATCACTTAGAAACATCTGTTACGCCGCAATTATGCTCGGAATGTTCTCCCTTATTGGTTTGTGATTGGCGTTATCTTGTTATCTGTGGTCATTCCATTACCTTCAATATATCATCGTTAATTACAGCTGATTTCCCGTGATCTCTGGCCTTCTTCGGTCAGCATGCACGCAAAGTTCAACGCGAGTAGTTGTTGACAAGTAAACTTTGGCTTTTCAAAAGGGTAAAATTTCCGCGCAGCCCCATACTACATTATGCATTCAGTTCTTGAATAGAGAAAACAATGACAAAAACAATACATTGCCATTGGGAAAACAAATTTGTTTTACAATAGTATGGGACTGTGCGGAAATTTTACCTTCAAAAGTCGCCCCGAACCAGGCGTTGCAATACTATTTCCATTCCTTTTCCAACACCAGTAAAAGGGAACCCTTACAATGTTTTTAGATTAGATATATTTCTATTTTTATCGTTTAACAATATTCAGTATGCATAACACGCAACTATTTAGCAACTAAAAGGTGTGACGATAGGTTTTCGCGCACTAAACTGGACTTCGCGGGAAATGTACAAAACGGGGGAAATTAACTCGGTAGAGACCACTCGGCTTACGAGAACGGAAACTCTTCACGATTTCCTTGCACACGGAGATCTACTTTGAGCGAGCTTATACGGACGTCAAGGATGAGACAGCGTTTTGGTTCCACAACAGACTTTTATGCGTAGAGCACTCTAACATTCATCATGCCAGAGTAAAAACTAAAGTAGTAATCGTCAGTCAAAACGGCACGCCGTCGTGTATGTAAATCGAAAAACTTTTACAAAGTACTGCAGAAATATGAACTGTTGTGAGGTTCCATTGTTCTCTAAATCAACCATATTTGAACAGTCTAACAAAAGAAGTGGAAAATGTTTCTTTGA